ACACACACACACACACACACACACACACACACACACACACACACACACATATTCCCTGAGCAGCTTGCAGCCTCAGGGAGCCACCCGCACCCCCGTCATCTTCCATATGGCCTTGCATCTTGAGGCTGTGGGGACCTAATATCAGTTTCCATCACTGCTACCCAAGTGTTAACACTGTCATTTCAACTTTCTACTAGATACTGGGCACACGAGGACACAGGCTTCTTACCTCTATAGGCCTACAGGTGATGTATGAATCCAAATACCATTCATCAGCTAAATTTGGCTGTTTCAGTGTTTGTGTGTAAGTGTATCTTCATATGGACACACCCGCATGTTGATGTGAGCTCCGTGGGCCAACAGCAGCTCCTGGCACAGCGCCCCCTGGCGTGAGGAGGAGGCAAAGTGGAGAGGAGAAAACCCCCTCTCATTCACCTGAAGCAAGGTACCAAAGAAAACGATTAAACACGCACAATCACCACGCGCATACTATCTCACACAAGGGGACACACACACACACCTGGTTGACGTTGGCCCCCGCCTCGATGAGCTCACTGACCACCACATCCTGTCCATTGTAACAGGCCAAATGGAGCGGCGTGTTGCCATAGCCGTTCACCTCGTTGACCTATGCAAGGTGAGAAGTACTTTTATTGTCTTGTCCATTTAAAATAGCTTGTATATCTACGGTTAAAGACTTAGCCGGGTCAAAGGGTTATGGCACAGTATATACTGCACGTGCATGCTCATATGTGTGTGTCTGTACTGACGTGGACCCCCAGGCCTAGCAGGTAGTGCACTGTGCTGCTCATGCCACTGGAGGCGGCTGCATGGAGCGGAGTGTACGCTTTTTTGTCCTTACAGTCAACCTCTGCTCCACTGGCCACCAATAACTTCACCACCTCCAGGTGACCTGAAACAGAGGAGGGCCGAAAATGACATTTTAAAAAAAGGGAGGGAGAGAGAGAGGCTTTATCTAGTCCGATAAAAAGTACATTTGTATTCAAAACCATGCAATAAAAGAGTCTCACCCATGTAGGCTGCCCAGTGAATGGCTCTCCTGTCCTTCTTGTCAAATGCATTAATGTTGGCTCCTCTGGACAGCAGCAACTTCGCCATCTACCACACAAAAGCAAATCAACTAGATGCGGACATGGCATGCGAGTGTCCCTGTTTGTGTGTGTGTGTGTGTCTACAGGAGACCCACCTCTACGTGTCCGCTGAAGGCAGCGTGGTGCAGGGCAGTGCGTCCCGCCCGGTCAGACACATTGACGTTGCTGAGCAGCGGGACCAGAGCCTCGGCGCAGCGCACCGCCTTGTTGCTCGCTGCCACGTGGAGCGGCGTCTGCCAGTTCTTGTCCCGGGCGTTAACATCTGCACTGTGCTTCAGCAACACTGCCACTGCGTCCTGGGTGGACAGCGAGCATGAGTGTGGAAACAGAGGGTATTTTTAAGAATGCCTCAGTGTACTAACAAAGTACATGCCAATGTGTGGGTGCTTGTGAAAGTCTTTGCTATTCTTAGGGGGCTTTCATGCCGACAGTAGCACTGAGAAAGCAGCATTCCATAGCTGCTGAGGGACGTGGTTATCGTGGCATAATTAGTGGAGTCATCACAGCACACATTAGCACATGTGTTTGTGTAGTAGTGTGTTACCTCACTACAAGAGGCGACAGCTCGGTGAAGAGGAGTCAACCACTTGTTGTCTTTGGCATTAACTCTGGCTCCTGGAGGAGAGAAGGAGAGTGAGGGAGAGAGTGAGCGGACATCAGAGATATGGCAGCAATGGCAGACACAGCAAAGTCAAGCATGGTGGAATCATTAAAAGATACATTAAAAGGCCCAAGATATAGTAAACAAAAGCTTTAAGACAAGCTAATAGTTTAAAAGGCTTTTCACACTTTCACTTATGGGAAGGGGGTCTTGTGAGGCAACAGGGCCTGGAAGATATAGAACTCCTGTGATGCTCTCTGGCACCGCTTGGGGTTAAAATAGCCCTGAAGCTGCACCTGTTGCACGTTATTGCGAAACAGTGAACACAAATACACACACACACACACTTCCATACTACGCTTGTAACTATTGAGGGAACAGGAAAAAAGAAATGAGGAAAAGACAGTAGCTTTGAATAGTTAAGGAAAGCACGGCAGGATTTTTTATATTTTGACTCAAATCTTGTGTTTCTTCAAACAAAAACAACAAAACAAAAAAAAAATTTAAAAATAAATGTGTTTCCAAGTCTTGACCTGGTTGAAATCTTAAAATAAGGCAGACAAATACATGACTTTCATATACCTGGAAACAATTTACTGTTCAATGAAAACAAATCTAATCTAAAGTACTGACAGGTATTAGGAACAAAAAGCAGGATTACACGATTTGACTCGAGAATAAATTACTTGTCAACTTTGCAGTGCGAGAATGAAAAATGAATGAATGTTTAATTATGCAAAGGAATTATTAAACACTAGACACATTTAGGAGAGCTAATATGGATGCATAGATGGAAAAACAGGACCAGATGGACACTAACAGCCACTGTGGACGGATAAGTAAGCTTTCCACAAGAATTGATAAGAGAGGTTGGGCTGGGCCGCAGTGTTTACCTGAGAGGACGAGCAGCTCAATGATCTCAGCGTCTCCCAGGTAGGCTGCAGCATGCAAAGGCGTCCTCTTCTCATTGTCCTGACAGGAGATCCCAAAATACAGAAAAACACAAATTTAAGCATGTGCATCATTTCTCTTTTTCACACAAACAGAAGCCGTGGGACACATGCTCACGCATCATGATGGGGTGAAGGCATACATGGCCCCAAACAAAATCCATACACCTCACACTGTTTCAGACCACAAGAAACATGAGACTCCAGCCACAAGGAGAACAATGTCATGTGTTCACTTCAACTCTGCACTTCGCTCCATCACTTCAACACACCCTGCTGCACTCTCTCTCTCTCTCTCTGTGCAGTAGCGAGCAATGAACCTGGGCTTTAAAGAAATGTCATGTGACTGCAATAGTTTTCGGCCAGTGTTGCTGACTCCAAAAAACTCAGTGTGATGACCCCAGCACTATAGACCCGTTAAAGACGGACAGAGAGAAAAACAAAGACTGTGAAAAACAAATGAGGTGTAAACTGAGGAAATATAGTCAGAAAGACTGGGGACAGAGAGTGAAAGCGAAACGGAGAAAAAGGAAGAAGATATAGAAGATTATGTCCTCAAATGATAAGAGAGGGTCATGTGTCCGGCCCTGATTGACAGCTATATAGGACGGGGAAGCTGCCAGAAGGCACTCTGAGTCAGTCAATCGATCAACTGTCCTTGTTTTTGATCTGTCATTGTGTGTGTGTGTGTGACAGACGCTACAGTGTGAAAAGCAAATACACCGGGGTGTGGTCACAACAAAACCATTTATATTGGGAGAATGCAAGAGTGTGACCTATACCTGAATGTTGACATCCTCTTTCTTGAATACGAGGGAGCGAACTTCATCCGGGTCGACGTTGAAGATGGCTCTTAACAGAGACGGCTACGGAGACAAGGAGAAGACGAGGAGATGATGATGTACACGACTACAAGCTCCATTTGCAAGGCAGTCGTTTTCTATGCTGACAACGGTGTTATCAGTGTGAGTTATGAGACACTATGATCCTGAGCTGGGAGAGAGCCACAGGTTACACACGGCTGTATATCACTCATTTCTTTATGACAGTAAAGCAAACACTCATTTTTGTATCTGTGAGGAGTTACAGCTATGCCCTCTCACCACATGATGCGAGATCAGCTGTAAAAGGAGGACCATTTTAACAAGTTACACAAGATAAGCATGCGCTTGAAAATGAAAGACAGATCTCGGAACAGCTCTTTAAGACTATTTCGTTTATCTACATCTGTGTGTGTGTGTGTGTGTGTGTGTGTGTGTGTGTGTGTGTGTGTGTGTGTGTGTGTGGTTGTGTATGTATGTGAGAGCACGTGGTGCCTCATACTGAGTTGGATTTTGTAAACAGTGTTGCTCAGCAGGCATGACAACCTTCAAGAGAAGAGGATACATCCATTCAGATGAAAGGTTAAGTAAATCGGATTACTGGGTTTAAATACAGAATTGATGACGATTATAAATCAAGATGTATTTCTATTTATAATGACACTACACTCTCTTTACTTTTAATATCTGATCATTACAGCAGTTTCCTTGTTTTCAATATGTTTGGATAAGTAATTAAGATTGTAACGAGGAAATAAGACTGATAATGCACAATGTACTGTAAGCAGTGCTTTTCTTTGAGCTGCAACGTTTACAATGCACACACAAAATAAACAAACATAAGAACATTATTGATTCAAAGGAGGTCTGGAGAGGCTTGAAATTAAAAAGCCGCTCTAAATTACATTATAATGCCATTCCCTCCTTTGAGAGGATTGAATTCCCTCCTTAAAGTCTGTGGAAGTGTCATGAGTCTCACTGAACATTTTGTCACACACACAGCAAAGGGCTGCCAAGTTGCACCATTTAGTACTACATGAGTATCATGATGTGGGATCGTCTCTGTTTTCCCCCATCGCTCTCTCATTTCGTCCCAACTAAAAATAAGTGAGTCCGTCAGGCATGTCGGCGTCTGTCTCATGCCTACGACACCGATGACCACTGCAACTGTGTCGGAGAAGGTAGACAAATATGAAGAGAGCAAACCCTCGCTGGCTTTGCGCCTTCTCGGTGTAAGCTTGAAAGAGCAGCTTTCATATGACAAACAGACTTACGACCATGTTTCAATTCTAGACTTAGACTATAAAGGCCCGGGCCTTACTGATAATCTATACAAACCAGCAGTCATCTCACATGGCAGGCTATATCGGTGATTGTAGTCGGTGCTATATTTAGCACAGGATGACAAATGTTGGCAGTCATTGTGTTTTTATGCAATGGGACATGGAACTACGTACTTCAGCACAGGTTTAAACTTCATGCCGGGTATGACAAGAGCATTGGTCTGTTTAAAACCTCAATTCTGTCATTTGTCATTCATTCGACGAAAGAACCGAACAGAAGCAACCCCATCTCACCTTGTCCTCCTGAGCGGCAGCCCTTCGAGAGGCATGATGGGATCTGTGGCCTGGGGATGATTTGGGCCGGGGAGGTGGAGGTGAAGAGGAGGGCTCATCCTCCTCCACCTCCTCCAGCACCACGATACACACACGACTTGCCCGTTCTGACCGCATCAGGAACACTCACACACACACGCTCTCTCTCTCACACGCATACACACATGAATACACAGTGTTCCCTCTCACATACATGCGCAATTCAGGGGGACAAAGGTCAGCAACAAATCCCATAAACAAGAGCAATTTCCTCGTCAAAACAACGCTGCACATCTTCATGTAAAATCCAATGTGAGATCCAGCTGTGTCCTCTATCTGTCAGTGTCGCTTTGCTGCATGTCTCCTCTCTCCTCTCTAGCCAACACTCTCTGTGTGCAGCGGCAGCGCAGACAGCAGGGAATTCCTCTGCGTAATGGTGGCGGTAGGCGGCATGCGGCAGAATGAGCTTGGGCTGCCTAGCAGCGAGCAGGAAGCTACATATCCTCACTGCTGTGCTGCAGCCAGGAACACACACACACACACAGAGAGACCCTGTGATTAGCGTGGACGGGGGGGCCGCAGCAGCCAGTGTATGTGTGGGCATGCGTAGCTCGTTTCAGGCAGACTGCTGAAGCCAGCGCTTTCAAAAGAAGAGAGAGGGAGAGGGAGAGAGAAGGGGGAGGGGAGAGGGGGAGAGAGGGAGAAAGTGAATGGAAAAGAGGACAGAGAGCTAGAATAATTGTAGGTAGGTACCTAGACCACCATAACACAAAGAAACCTGAAGAGGAATGGGGCAAAGGACACTGAGGGTGCAAAAACTGATGACAGAAAGTTAACCTGGAAACAACTTGGCTTAAAAACACAGACTGTAAGGGGTTAGAGATTAAGAGGGGATGATATGTAGAAGAGAAGAAAAAGAATAAAATGACAAAGGAAGTGAGAAATACTCGCCTGAAGAAGAGTTAGGAACCTATTTTGATGCCTGATTATCAGGTCACTTGCTGGCCAGTGCCGGTCCACGAGTCCCCCGTGAGTTCATTTAAGTGTAATAACAAAAGTGTAGGTGGAGCGATGATGCTCCAGTGGAGAATGATGATGCAGCACTATTGATTCTTTATTGAGAGCCCTGCTACCTTCGGCAAAACCACGCCATGTTGTTTGTTGAGCGCTTCAACACTGACTGGATATCTGACTGTTTACTACTGTGTTGTGATTTGCTTTATGGATCCCGCGCTTGTACACTCAACACAGCTCTGTTCTTTGGTATTGTACATTAAAGTAACAGTATGAACTAAGCACCAATGGTCTCCTTATACTTCACTTCAGCTTGAGTCAATCTAGAAAGCTGTATCCCACGGAGCATGGTACAAACTAAACCATGTGCAGTACACGGTTGACTTGTTTTTAGAGTTTGCTAAATAAGGTTTTAGTGGTTTGCATCTTCGTAAAGTTGGTGCTAAAGTAGAAGTGGCCTTTCCTTTTAAATATGAGGGAATAAAAGAAAATGGAGACCAGATCGGTGTGTGTGTACTTGGGTGTGTGTGTGTTCCAGTATCCTCTTTGGTGTATTGGCATAGCTTCAAAAGTCCCCATCTCCTCATTATAAAACTGGAACAAACTGGCTTTGCCAGAGAATGTGAGGGTAGCTAACAAGACATGTCTGTGTCTGTGTGTGTGTGTGTGTGTGTGTGTGTGTGTGTCACACTCAGTCTCCTTCATATTCAACACAGATCCTAAAAAGAGCAATCTTGCCAAGCCACACAACCCCATTAACTCAGAGGGAGGGACGATGCGAGGGAGGGCGAATGAGAGAGAGCGATTCAGCTGGACGGAGCCGTTCTGCGGGGCCTACATTTTGAGTTTAATTGACTTAACATTTATAAACTGAAAATGAAACGCAGGCTAACAATCTTTCTGCTCCCTGAGTTTGACACTACAGATTTGCCTCAAGGGCACAAACAAAGAGTGATGTTTGGGAAGCAAAGTATAGAAACAAACAAGCGATGTTTTCTCTCTCCCTCTTGCATAGAACCGGGGATACGTTCAGGAACGTAGCCCAGAGATGTTTACAGAGAAGATTTGTTTCCATTTCCCCAAACAGAATATTGTCTTTGTGTGCACTGTGTGTGCACCGTGTGTATGTGTTGTAATCAGGAGCAAAGCAAGCATGTGGAATAGGCAGGATTTCTTTTTTTACGTACAGCACAGGGTGACCAACACAAACTGAGCATTCAAGCATTCAACAAAACCCGTAAAAAATCAATTTTGTGCTGAACTCAAATGTCTGCTCCATTAATGCTGAGCTGGTGGGACACTAGGAAAACATGCTGAAGGTGAAGCAACAACAACAGGATGCAGGCCCAACATCAGAAATACCCTCAAATAAAATTCAGAATACTTCTCCTGAGCTTTACTTCGTGTGAGAGACCCAACGTGACCGTCCAGATGTGGAATAGTATGCAGCTTGCACTGACCTCTGCTCTGACCCTGCGACAGTATGCAATGTGTGTAATATAATCACAGTCCAGAAACTCAAAGGCAAAGGTGTGTGTGTGTGTGTGTGTGCTGGGACACCTACTCACACAGACAGCAGCAGTGACGATGGTAACATCTTTATGTTTTAAGGCTTTGTTGTCCTGGTATTACATGTACTATATGGTATGCACAACACGACGTACTATCCATTAATGCTCTAATTAAAGAGAGGATGAGTCATTGACATGACATGGTTCTAAATTGATATGAGTTAGTATGCCAACATTCTCCCATTCATACAGACTTCTCATACACTGATGCAAGAGGCTGCCCTACAAGGAGTCAGCCAGCTCAGGATGTAAACTAGTGCTCATTCACAGACACACACACACACATAGCACAGCCTGGTTCAGTATCTTGGCCAAGGACACTACGACGCATCGACCGGAGGAGCCAGGGATCGACGACCTGCTTTACCTCTTGAGCCACAGCCGCCGCCGCAGTTGTTCTGTGTATACTGTGCATATTTTTAGTGTTACATTGTCCTTTAAGGCTCTTTGGCTAATAACCAACACTAACAGCGTATAGCTGATGTATGCATTGTGGACAAGTATACACAAACAAAACAACAAGGCGCCCCCCTGTGCTTGACCTAGTGCTTTCATTGATTGTGTGTTCTTAAATGCCTACACCATCTCTTCAGGCAGCACCATAGTGTGGTGAGGACACTCTGCATGCAAGGTACAGGATGCCCTCTAGAGGATGAACAGAAGCCAAAAAGGGAGACTCACTCCTGTCGCTCTCAGTGGGACTATTTTTGTCCCTTAGTCCAGTTTTCTGTCAGCAAACACTACAGAAAACAATGGAGAATAGAGAGGGGGGATCTAATCACATACACTCTTCCGTTTTTTTGCTTGCCTGTCCGCGAAGACTGGTCAGACCGGGACAAAGCTGCACTATCATTGACCCACTTTGACTGAACTTCATATAGAGTTACAAAAACATTCTGAACCGAAATAATTTCTATTTCTAAGCACTTGTTTGCCATAATTTACTACAACGAGCGCAACTAACAGTTGTTTTATTCAATCATTATTTGATTATGATATTCATTAATAAATAATTTTGTGTAAAATGTAATAAATAACAACATATCACAAGTTACCAGAGCCCCAAGTAGCTTTAAGTGTTTGACTAACAGTCACAAAACATTTGCAATCACTACAACGATGTGAAAAGGAGCAAAATATCATGATTAAAAAGAAATACATGGTGCCTTTACTTGATCATGTGAATAACTACAAAAATAGCAAATTTCCTGATGATTGATATAGCAGCTATTTGAATAGTTTACCTAATGTATTACTGTTTAGGGGGGTAACCTAACAAAACAATGTTTTAATCCACAATTGTGTTCCTGATGCATGCATCCACTACAATGGCCAGTGCATAACTTCCTTTAGGATTTAAGCTTGTGGAAACCGTCTAATTCATGACCACAGCTGGAGAGTGTAGAACCAGCACCAGCTGCTATTTCAGTCTGACAGCCTTTCTTATCACCAGGAACACGTGACAGAGGGAGCTGAAAAACGACAGCTGACAAAGCAAACTCCCTGGGTAGAAAATCGGTAGTTAAATCGGAAATATGCTTTACAATTTAGCGGAGCACGCGTCACTAACTTTAATAACCTTATAATGGGGTGGTTTAATAATAATAACGCGGTGTCGTGCGTGAGTTCAAGTTGCAAACTAGCATTAGCAGAGGAGTTAGCCACCGTGATAACCTCCTAGCTATCAGCTGTGTCCACCAGTCCATCACCACTACAAACGGAAACAAACCGACACAATCGAAAACAAACGGCCGCGTTACCATGGCTTTTACATGAAAGTGAACTCAGTAAACGTAAAGCAACAGGTGACGTGAAGCTAGGCTCTTACGTTAACTGGTTACTTGCTAGCTAACAGTTACTAGTTAGCTTAGTTAGATGTCAGTCGACTTAACGTTAACTGGAAGAACGACAGCAAACCTAAAGCTTAACAAAGCCGTTTAAATGTGATTTACTAGACCAGTTTAAGTCATGAATACACGCTCACATTTGAGCTCAAATGAACCGTCAGTGTGACATGGTGGTGACTAAAGTTACACATAAACACACTCAAAACTACAGCAGTTTTACGTTAAATGTTCGCTGACGTTAGTTAGATACTGTTAACGTTACCTGGTCTTGTATCTTCAACACAGCCATGTTCTCCGTGTAAAAACCAAGAGGAGGCAGTAACGTTTACCGTAACTCTCCCGTGAGTTACGGTAAATTAACGGAGGGAAACTGAATGAGGAGCGACTCTCTGGAGCTTCCCTCCTCTTCCTTCCTGTCGTGTACAGACTCCAATGACAGTACGGGAGAGTTGGGACCAAAACTCAGCAACATTTACACTGATTATTTATTATATACTATTTTATATATTATAGCAATCAAAAAGGCATGTTCGTGTTATTTGAGATACATTTTCCGTTTTAATGTAAAATTGATAAAAGGTTTGTTATGCAAGTCTAAGAGCAACTAGTAGTTTCAAATACAGAGTTGGGATACTAATCATCACAGTATCGAGGCTACAGCCTATTAAAACTTATAGTTTTAATTTATTTATTATAGTAGCATTCCCTGAACTTGCATTTAAACCACTTTCATTATATGTAGGTCCTCCGGCTGAATCTATTGTGACAGCATCCGCCTGAAATCCTCACTTTCAAACTGATGATTTATGAGAAAACAAAAAAATACACAGGGAAGAAATCTAACTTCAAAGACTTTTTTTTATTCAAGTCCACAAAATAGTGTAAGAATACAGTTATATACAATAAACATGACTGAATTATCCCTCCCATATGTACACTACTGGACTGGTATCTCCCACTTAGCAGATAAGAATCCAATAATCACAGCACGTTTTGATGCATTTATGACATCTGTAGGATTTTGCCCATTTGTGGTTTTTAAGTTGATGACATGACATTTAGACCCTTAGGTCTGTGAAATCTCCTGTGCCGTTTCAGGCGATAATTACTAGAAAATTGTTTGCCACATATACCACATTTGTTCCTCAATGTGTGGCTTTGAATGTGCTGGACAAAACTCTCCATAGACTCTAAATGTTTCCCACAGATTCCACAAGTATGGATTTTATCCCCTGCATGTGTCAGCACGTGTGTCCTCAGTGTGTACATGTAATAGAAACTCTTTCCACATGCTTTACAACAATGAGGACCGCTGGGATTCTGACTGACAGATTGAGTTGATGTCTTTATATTTAAACCCACGGTGGGTAAAGAGTTTTTTCTTTTCACAAGCACTTTCTTCTTGATACCGAGTGCCTTTAGACGAGGTGTGGTGTGCTGAGACTCCCCAGCTGGCTGGCAAACTCCACCAACCCCACTGTCAGGCAGCGTTTCCAGAGGTTGATTTGAAGAGTTAGGAAGCACATGTCCCTCGCTGCTTTCCACACAGTTCATTTCGCTGAGGTCTTGAATGTAACTGCCTGCACAGACGATGCTGAATTCAGAGTCTTGAGCGAGATGTTCCTCCACACTCACTTGACTGTTACCTTTTGGTATTTGATCGCCTTTAATCTGCAGTTGCGTTGAGTTCTGCCACCCAGGATGACTCACTGGGGGAAAAGGGGGAAAACAAAATTTCAGTTGTTCACAAGTTTGTACACGCAGTGAAAGTGAGGTTAAGCATGCAAAGCTCTTCGACCAGACCTTGTCTGCAAATGTCCTGTTGTTCTTCTTTCACATGAAGCAGCAGTGAGGCCTGTTGGTCCTCCTGGTCCAGACTGCCAAGCTCCTGCTGAGACCAGGGTTCAGGACTCAGGGGAGCCTCCTCCTCAATGGCAGAGACAGAGGGCTGATCAATCTCTAAGAGAAAGGACAGAGCAATGTATTTTATTATATTGGTAGACTGCCAAATGTCAGTTTTTTTACAGTCAATACTTCATCAAACTATGTATTTATCAGCGTCTGTGAATGCAAATCTGTGGCTGTACCCCCCCTACAGCCCATTGACATTTTTCTTCATATTCTCACCGAAAAACAGAGTTTCTCAGAGTAAGAAAAAACAGTATCAGTGATTTTTTTTTTGTATTTAAAAAAAGCAAAACAACAAAAAGGCATCCAGATAAAAAAAATTTTTTAAAAAGCTCTATTTAATAGTAGAAAAGGTTGCATCATTCTGACACACCAAAAACACCGCTGTCGAAGTGAAGCCATGTATTTTCACAGCATCATTCCCAAATTGCAAAAGGTAATATTTATTTATGAACAGAGGGACATCAGACATTTTGTCAACTAACCTGTGTCTTGGCTTTGCTGCAGTATTGCAAAACCTGTAAAGTAAAAAGACAGGGTGGTCAATAACTACATCTAGTTAGTGAAAATAACTAAAATACGACCATTATGATTATCAGCGGTGGCACACAGCGTTTATCTGAAGCAGAACTTAAAAACATGCTTTTACAACAGAACAATAGAATGTTAAAGTAACAGCAAAATCGGGAGAATTCCAAGAAATTATACGTACCATGTTGTTTAGATATGTGCACCTCAAAGTTACATTTACGATAAATGATCTTTGTGCAATATGGGCAGTGCCAGTGACTTCTGCCCTGGATCAAGTCTGTGCATGTACATGGTACAACAAATTTATCTGAAAAGAGAAAAGATAGCGTACTTACTACATGCCAACACTTTAAATGACTTCAAAGAACATTGTTTTAGCATTTTATCAGCTAGCATACGACAAAGGTAATCCATTATAATGACAAAGTATCATCATGCTTTGATTTTAACGGTAATAAAACGTACCAGTGCCACCCTCAGTAAAATGGACAGCAAATAGATAATGTTTTCTCGTCAAATGTGTCTCAGTGGCTTGAATCCTCTTCAAGCAGTAGCGACAGTCATCACTGGCTGCAAACTTTAGAAAGTCTGTGCGTGAGGTGAAGGAGCACTGAGAGTCTGGAGAAAAAAATTTAAGATGTAATTCAAATACTTTACGAGATAGTATGGCATTTCATAGAATTACTAGAGTGATGACACACTTCAACAAAGGCCTCATACAGAATGACTGAAATGCCTTTTTCCCTTCCAGGGAGGAATAAAACAAATGACAGTATGAGCAAATCATCAGCGTCATTTCTTTAATGGAAAACCAGGTTGCACTTAACAGTAATATTATGTTACGTAATGACTGATGGGAGCGCATTACACTTGTGTGACTAATAGTTGTTACTGGTGTCCATGTTAGAAACACAACTTCAGTCACTCCTGGCTTTTTTTTTTTTTTTTTTTTTTTTTTTTTTAATAAATCGGCTTCACAGATGATTTTAATAGACAGATTTTACCGGAGAGGAGAATGTATTGTTAGACTTAAGTCCTACCACTGGAATTGCGGTTGGGGTCTCTGGCCTTGCCGGTGGGACTTGAATCTGATGCACCTGGACCAGCAGCAGCAGTAGTGGTACTTTTGGTGGGGTTAGCTGCTGAAGAGTAAAGAGAAGCACAAAATAAAAAAGGTATGTTATATCAAAGTAAGCCAGCATGCACACTACCAGGACTAGGGCTGTCCTCATCTTAAAAAAAAAATGATTAGTAGACTAAGACTCTCACGATTTTGGAGAAAGGGCAAGCTCAAAATGTGGCAGTGGCAGCTAGTAGGGGCACTTCCTGTGGCAAGCTCAGCTGCCGCGGCAAGTCGTGGCAGCTGCCACAACTTGCTACTATATATATATAAACCTGTACTTTTCCTCCTGTGGCATGGTAACGTGTCCTCTGACTGTCAGGAGGGGGGACATGATTATATATATTTAGGGTTTAATACAGCCCAAATGATGAGAGGCCTCATATCAATATCATATTTACAACTATGCTATCGGTCTATATTGTCCCTTCATTGACATGCACGTTTAATAGGTGCATATAATGACTATGCTAATGGCAAAGAGAGCGTGAAGAGAGTGTGAAAAATGACTGATTTGTATGCCACTGTACAGATCCCTGGAGCATGCGACACTTAAGCAGCTACCACCTTCATTGTTTAAGCTAACCTGAACTGGCGGTGCTAGCTGCATTGTTGTCTATAGCCAGCGTAATGTACCCTGTTGGACTCGCATACTGAATAATACATACTTTAACATTGTCCAGATGTACTTAATATAAACTTTAGCTCCATTTCTCTCGGTGTTAATTCACACAAACTGAGCTTTGCGAGTCGCTCTAGAATGAACCAACCTTCTTTCTGTCGTGATTTGGTTTTGAGGATGATGTCCAACAGAGACCGGTTGCGTTCGTTGTCTTCCTTCAACCGGGTAACCTTCACCTCGTAGTCCGTTATTGTTTTCTCAAGAGCACCGAATATTTCAGAAGCAGCAGCATGTAGCCGCTCGGAGACAAACAGTTTTAGCTCTTCCATTTGGCTCATCTTACCACCATTTGAAAAAACTCCTTATGTCCACCCCGGAACCACATGTGAACGAGCTGCAAACAGCGGAAGTAATAACAGTTTACCGTTTAATGATAGCGAAGTCTATCACGCAGCATGAAAATATATATTTATTGTAAGATGTATTTAAAAAAAGAAACATCTCACACTCATATTTGACTTTTTTTTTTTATTTAAAGAAGTTCATATTTTTGCAAGTGTTCAATTATCTGCTTCATTAGAAAAGATTATGAAATGATTGAGGTTGGCATTCAGTTTTCCATGACTTGTGTATTTCTAAAGGAATCTTCAGATCAAACAGTCTCAACATAGTTCCTAAACCGCAGCCATGGATAAGCTAAAACATCTTGCTAAACTGGTTATTGAAAAGAAATGTTTACATTTCATCCCTTGTGAGAACCAATACAGATGACAGTAACATTCATCTAAAAAGGAATTCACCATGGAGAGGAATCATTTTTTGAGGTTACAAGCACATTATTCACTCATTCAGCCGTCATCTAGGCCTGATGATGATGCATTAGATTTGATCTGGAAAATGTACGTTAATAATGGCAAAGCTGTCACAGTGCACACACTTGTCCTCAGACGGTTTTGGCGTCTTCCTGTGCTCCTGAGGGGATCTCAGAGTACTGTCCTTTGCATGAGGTGGAGGTGGAGTCGCATTTAAATCCATACGCACAGCAGTGCCGACCATCTGCACAACACTGGCCCTGAATCAGAACAAGTCTTGATGTTAGAAAAAAATACAGTATAGACTCGTAAATTACTGCAGTAAAGGTGAATTTCAAGGTTTACGGTCGAAACAAGAACATTTAATCTTTTGTCAGTTGCATCAGTTTGTGGTGCTTTTGATGTGCAATACACCCTCTATATTCCTGTTTGTCTAAGCACTTTTGTCAAATTGTTTTCCTTCAGATCACTGCACCGTTACTTCATGATGGCTTTAAAAATTGGCCAATCCATACCAGTTTGAAGGGACAGCAGTTCCATTTGCCTGTGGATGCTTTGCAGCAAGATGTCCCAGCTGAGCAGTAAAACCTGGGGTCACAGCGAATGGCTCCATCCGCAGTGTTGACATCACTGGCTTCTGCCAGAGCTGTCATTGGTGTCTGCAAAAGGTAAATACATACTGACCATTATACCCTGGCTATTAATATATTCAATCATTGACACATATTTATTTTCATATTAGTCAACAAGTCATCTATATTCTTTTAAATAATAGCTCTTTAAAGCAAATGTGATTGGTGCACAGAAGGACTGCCCACGTCAAACCAGTAAAACCAGTGTCTGAAAAGTGTGTGTTCATGAAGGACCCCATCATATAGATAGAGTAAGAAGGAGTTTGAGAACTTTCAATTAAAAACTTTGTGTGAATGGATGGATATACACCACATATGCAGTCAAAAGGCCCATTCGCAGTATGTCCTACCTCTTGCAAGCTGCTTTTTTCCTCTGAAGGCAGAATGAGAGAGGCAGGCACTGACGGCTTACTTTGGTCGGGGATGAAAGGATATCTCAGGCCTTGCCTCCTCACACAGTGCGTATAAGTGACGTCACAGTCGTAGCCCCAAGCACAACAGTGGTAGCCATCCCGACAACACCATCCCTGCAAGTTACAAGTCACAGGTTATTTATTATATGCACAACAACTACATGCCAAAAAAAGGGGTTGAAAGCTTTGACTATCACGTCAAAAGTAGACCACAGGAATTTCACGACAGTTGTTATTGCAAAAGACTCACAGGAGAGTACGGGCAACAGAACCAGACACCTGTTGGGTGTCTGCAGCAGGTAGTGCCATCAGGACAAGCGTAATAGTTGTCACAATGAACAATTGAGCTCTTTATTTGGTCCGGCACTTGTTTGTTCACGGGCTCCTGAAGGGGAGAAACAGGTAGAACATGAGGGATTGGTTGCTCGGCAGCCTCCTTCTTCACCATGGGTATCATCATCCACGGCTTTCTCTCACACATCTGGGTAACCGCGTTACAATGATACCCTGAAGGGCAGCAGTGGGCCAAGTCAGAGCAACACACTGCCTAAAGACACACGGAGATTAAGGGTGTAATATTTGCAACAACAAAATGTTAACAACTTACAGGTCAAGTTACATTATATGGTGACAAGAGACTTACATTTGGATAGTGACAGCAGCTATACCCATTTTTAGTCAGACAGCAGGTGGTGGAATCAGAGCAGATATTCCCATCCGGACATGTGATGGCGCAGGAGGCACACACAAACACTCCCACTAACAACCACAGAGTTAACCTTAACATCTGCAAAAGAGTAGTAATATTTAGTTCATTTTAATCAGTTGAATATGATACTTTATGTGAGGTTTCAGGGAAAAAAAAAAACTTTTCACTTTATAAATCAGATTTTGTAACTTAACTGTGAAACTTCCCTAACTCTGTTCACTTGCTGTGACTTTCAGTTTCATTTTAGCCTGAACAACAATCTTCCTTTCACTCAAAACATCACTGAAAAGTACTAATAGGAGTTGTGACTGTTAATAAAGCACTCTACACAATTATGTCAAGACACAATTTGATACAGATTCATAGTTTTTATCACTTACCTTGCAAGTGAAGTGATTCAACAGCTTACTGCCCTTCGTCTCACACTTCCTCTCAACTGAACCACGGATGTAGTGATTTATATGGCAGATCAGAACCTCCCACTGAGCAAAAATCTGGAAGTCAAAGTTTATCACACCCTCTGTGTCCTTTAAACTGTCAAGATTAGGACAGTCGTTTTTCTGGAACTAGTTCACACCCATTGATCACTTTTTTTAAAGGGTTAGCGTTATTGTACGATACTGCAAACATACCCAAATACCACAATGATTAAACAGGGATGACTTCACGAGCTCACGTTGAACTTTGATACGACAACATTGTTCAACATCACAAGACCTGCCTGTAAAACCTCAAAGGTATTCGTGCGACATGGAATGGATTTTTTTACAAGTAGGTTGAACGTTTCAAACCGTAACAACCTTTACACTCACTCAGTGGGTGGAAGAGCAAGACAAGCAAGTTTTTACAAGTTGTTAACCAATGTTTTGCAGTTTGTGGCATAATGTAGTTAGGAAAAATGAGATAAGAACTGTACCAAGTACAATTTAGAGGCATATGTACTGTCGAGTATATCCATTTTCTGCTACTTTCCCGGTGTAGTTACTTTGCAGATAAAGACTTTACATATATATGATCAGCTTAGAAAATATTATTTTTTTATTGTTACAAACTGGGCTGCTAACCATGACTAAAGAGTGAGATGCACACAACCAAGCAAATTAACAATTTATTTATTAACTTATAGGCAACATAAGAGGCAAGCTCAAACTAACAGTGGAGTGAGTGCACAGGGCCCATGTGTTGCTGCTCAGCTGTTTCCACTCTGCTGATACCTGCAGAGAAAGCAGCCACACAAACAAGAGGAACAGGCAGACACACTATGCACGAGACTAACCTACACTATGTTCAGTAGTTAGCTACATTACAATGCTGCTTCGCATCTATCTCTGGTTTCTGGAGTTCCGTATTTAGTGTTTTTACAAAAATCTGTAGAAAACCTATTGAATTGAAGTCGATCATAGCTCTTTCTGGTATGCAACCTGAAGATAACCCACTGCTGATACTCTGTACTGACTAAACTAAAGGAGTGAGACAGCGCAGAATCATATTTGCGAGCAGGGTAATCACTCACTCACTCACTCACACACACACACACACACACACTAAAGTCTCAATAAAGGTTGTGACTAATAACAGCACTAAAGGCTCAAACAATACTTTATTAATGAATTCCCATTTTTTTTTTTTTTTTTATACATTTACACTGCAGTGTAACAATTTGTCTATCGGAACAATTATCCCTTGTACAAACGTTGACTGTGAAGCTCACATTTCTTATAAGTCCAACTTCAATATGAGGCTGGGCGAGACATCAGGTCATCTGGTCTACATGCACGACGCAGGCACGAGCACGACAGCCTCATCTAGCGACTAGAAATGTAAGATGTCGGGTATGAAGCAGATACAGTTACTCCTAGAGGGCCAGTGTGATGAAAGCAAGTGCCAGTCACATTGAAATCTCCAAGATGGGGGGGGGGGCGGGGGGCCTGTGTGAGGAATTCACTTCAGTCCCATGGTTGAAAGAACAATTACCTATAAATGTATGGTGGTAAAAATCAACAGATGTACCGGTAGTTTCCACTTAAGAGGGACGAGTGCCTCCCTCTATTTTCACTTCAGTCTCAGAACCACAGCACTACAAGTCTGTCGGCCTCTTGTTCAAGCGTGATTTTTTTTAGGTCAAAAGCAAAAATAACACTACTTGTGAACCGTCGGGAGGATGAGAGAACCGTGACGATGCGCTTGTTGATCGAGCTCCGAGTCTGACTGAGAGGCTGCCTTCCTTTTCTTTCTCTTGCCGTGTTTCTTGTGCTTCTTTTTCCTTTTCTTCTTGGATTTGTCCTGCGAAACGCAAAACATTTGAGGTTTGTGTCCAAGTCGTTCCTCTTAAATTAAGAATCAATTACTGCAGATGTCTAGTTACTTTCTGGCAGAGTAGGCACTTTAAGACATATCGTTTCAGCTTATACTAAACGCTGGATCTGTGTTATCAATCTGTCCAAAACATCTTTCAACTCGCAATTAAATATCATCTACTTACTAAATAATAATGTTAGTCTTTGCTGTAGTCATGATTTGTACCGGATCAAACCAAAATCTAAATTGTGAACTGTAACTTAAAAAAAAATAAAAAATAAGTAGATTTCTCACTGTTATTTTCTCCTTTTCCTCGCTACTTCTCTTTTTCTTCTTGGCGTCAGCCTATGGAAAGGGAAAAGTTGAAATGACAAAATGAATTGAGGGAAGTCACACACAATCTTAAAAAGCCCCTTTTCATGAAACGGTATTAGTTCACAATGTATGGAGTGTGTACAAGCATCTGCTACTGCAGTTAGGTTCACAACCGGTTGAGCCGTTGTTTCCTCTTTGACCGTTTATCCCGCTCAATGTATGATACGTTGCCATTACTGTTCTCCTTATACTGAAGGTTTTGCCGTGTTTTGCTCAGTTTCACAATCATTTTTATCCAACAAAAGGCTTGATAGGAAAAACAAGCTGATATTTGGACACATTTCAATTATTTCACTGCGCTTTGAAAGCAACATTAAGCCCATAAGGTGAGGGCTGTATTTTTAGATGGTGGCTGGTTCATGTGTAATTTAAAACTACCTTTACTCTTTACCACGGTTTTCACTTGCTTGTTCTCTGAGGTGCTGCATGCAGTCGGCCTCACGCGCGTCACGAGTTGAACTTGCCGTCAGTCTGACTGAGGTCGCAAGGTTTTCATTCAAATGACTATTTATCAGACTCCCCATGAAGCGTGACGGACAGAAAGCCTGCACATCTGGACGAGTGAGTGAGCCATCATACAGGGAGAACTGAAACTTAATTTATTTGGCAATTGTGTAATATAACTGTGTGTCGGTATATGGTGAAGCAGTTCAGCAAACACAACTACACCGCAAAAGGGAGTCTTGCAACAATGTCAACCGGATATTTATCTGTGATCAGCATAATATTAATGTGTCCAACTCGTTGAATAAATGTAATGAAAGCTGCAAAACTGTTTATACTGGTACATCGAGTTCAGCATCAGGTATCACACGAATATTTAAGATAATTTCCTCCCCCCCCAATTAGAAGAAAAAGAGGAACAAAGAGCTAAAAGAGGAATAGAGAAGAGGTAGTACGTTAAAGGTTTATTACTGACGGTCTATTGGGAGTCGGAGGGTAAATGAAATAGTTACGCACCAACAGCTATACATGGTGAAAGAGATGCGTGACCTATACAACCATAGAAAAACAATACTTACTACCTCTTCCCCCTCGGATTCTGCAGCGGACTCTGAGGAGGAGTCTCTATAACTTCGCTCAGCCTTCCTTTTTCGTTTACGGCTCTTGTCATCCTGACGGACACAAGATCACAGTTATGAATGCTTTACAACACCCATTCAGCTCAGTTTGACCCGCAAGACCAACAGACGAGTAATAAAATGGCTTTCAAAAGCCTCACGTATCTGTGGAAATATACACCGTAAAAAAGTTAAAAGTTACTATGATGAACTTCCATTTTGTGTTGATTTTGCGGGTCCTGTGGTCAAAGGCAGTAGTGTTTCACGAGTGTTCCAGAGTCCCTTCAGAATACCTCTCATTTTACTGCAGCAGGGTCCGACCCGGTGGTACCAATGACAAGCATTATAAATAATAATGATATAGAAATAGCTAATCTTCTCGCTGATGGTCTTGTTTTCTTATGTAGGTCATAAAGAGGCATCAGTGTTAAATTGAGACCGTTTCATCACCAGTTTAAGGTTCCTAACAGTAACTTTAAATGTGTTACTGAACACGAGTAGATTACCTTATCTTTGTCCCCTTCTTGCTTTATTCTTTTCTTTTTCTTCTTGGGGAAACAACAACAACAATTTGATTAAACCCTGGCATTTAAAAAAATGTAAGTCATTGTAGGACGACTATATTAACCGCCCATGTTTCAACACTAGAACCTGATTCTATTGAAGTGCACTGTAACACAGTCACTGTGCTGTTAAAAAAAGAACCTTGCTTTCAGCATCAGATTCTCCCTCTGAGCTGTCCGACGCTCTCGTCGATGACTTCTTTCTCTTCCGCTTTTTTTTCACACTCTTCTTTTCATCCTGTACACACAGATACAAATGCAATCAAACAGCGTCGTGCTGCATTGTGACAATTTAATGGAGACGTTGCGCAAGAAACAAATCACAACCTTTTTTTAAACTGATCAGTTTGAGCTACATAGAGTCAAAATATATTTCTGATCAGCTGTTAAATGTCAACTAACTCACTCAGACGATCAAAAATGCCCAAATGGTCTTTATTCAAACACAGGAAGCTATTAATAGAATTTACCTTTGACAGAGCACCACAAGCAAACAGCAGCTAGCAGTAATCAATCAAGTCAGTTAGTGACATCCAGCATCTTGGTGTGTCTCCATTTCAGGAGCACCATGCTTCTTAATTGCATGTAGTTGGATTATGGGTCACAAAATGTGTTTTTATTTGTCTTTATCTAGCACACGATGAAGTCTGCAATGACTCACCGCGTCTTCAGATTCTGTGGAGAAGCTGCTAGGGGAATCAGAACTCGATGAGGAGGAGGAAGATGGAGAATGCTTGACCAAAACACAATGAAAGCAGGGTTCATTAGATTTGAGGTTATTTGCTTGTGTGGGAATTGGAACACAATAAGAGACCGTCTCAGAGTACAAGCAGATGGTGTGTGTGTGTGTGTGTGTGTGTGTCTGACAGTGCTGTAGCAAAGCGGGTCATCAAATCACTGGAGGTCTCTCCTCACCCTGTTTGATTTCTTCTTCTCTTTCTTCTTTTTCTGAGCACAAATGAAAAGCCAAAGTCAGTAAACGATGATGATTTAAGAGAGTGAGGGTCATTAAAATGTCTGATGAAGGTGGGATACCATACCTCCTTTTTCTCTTTCTTCTCCTCTTTTTCCTTGTCCGTTGTCTTCTTGTCTTTCTCTTTGTCAATTCCAGCCAACAACTTCTCTCTATTTTTTGCCAGCTCCTTCTTCCATTTCTGAAAACAACGGCACATATTGGAAAAAGTATTCATCTTCTATATTACTATTTGTTCATCCAAACATGCAGAATAGTTTTTTGTAGTAGAGTGAAAAGACGACCATAACTGGAGTCATTATATTGACACATACCATGTTCATTTTGTCCTCAAAGTCAGCCAAGGCTCGAGAGCCCTTCTTCTTCTTCTCCAGCTGCTCCTTCAACTCTTCCCTGATGAAGAGACAATACATCAGTTGTAACACAATTTATAATGTTACGAGTTTCAGCCGACATTGGAGAGGACTACGTCTGGCAAAATGGTGAGGTCAGTTGCAGCTCTTCATCTCACCACTTAACCGGCAGATGCTTCTTTTAACATCCCTCCCATGCAATGTGTAACCTGATTATCAACGTTTCAACAGCAAGAATTTACAGTAGACAGACAATGCATAACTCCCGAGACAGAAACACTCTGTAAACTTTACAGGTTAATTCATATATTTTCAATTCAATCTGTTCCTGAGACAAATATTATTTTTCTTTCTACAAGAGAACTGGAAGCTCTTTGCCCGCAGAAGGCAAAATTATTTATGGACAGTAAAAAGGGTTAGAGGATGCTGTTAACAGTTGAATCTTCATAATTTTTAAATCATAATGCATTGCGGCAACAAAACTCTGGTTTACACACATCAGAGGACCTCCCTCTCTGCTCTCAATCTTCGTTGGCAGCTCAGTTGTGAGAGCACCTCGTCCTAAAATGATGCTGATGTTGCAACTATACCGACTCAAATGATGAAACCTCACACATCTCTACATCTACACCTGGCAGTGATATTGATTGACATGGATGCAACATAATTCTCAGACATAACAGGATAATGCCCCTGTGAGAGAGGAACTATTTATGTCAGGGCAGTGAGGAGGTCCGTCCTTTACTCACCATGTTGGTCGAGGTCTGCTTAAGTAATCTTGTATAGTTGGTCCGGCGTTATTTGCCGGCCCCCTGGCTCGTGCAGCAGCAATGGGGTTAATGTAAGCCTGGGACACCAAACAGAGGAAAGCATGTTATACATCTCTAATGGAGGTTATTGAAATACATCCAGATACCAGAGATTACATTGAGATAAACAAGACAGTTCTGCAGCAACACATGCATCCCCAATTTAACCATACAACCCCTCTCTAAAACAGTTTAAACTAAAAACAACACAAGTTACTCGTGTACAGTAATATTATAACATACAATGAAGACGTGATGTATTGCTGGACCGTAGTATTACACCATAGCAGTGTTAGATGATAAGCTACCTAATAAACTGTCAGAGATGTGTATTATTAGATGAAATATTCACACAACACATGCAACGTTACCCGTTAGCTAGTAAACTATGTGGTTCAGTGACAAAATTAGTAAATTGTCAGAAGCAAGCAACGTTAACCAAACACACTGGACTGCCGTTTATTAGTTTAATAGGGCTAATAAGGCTTTATATCAACCCAATAAGCGACGAAAAACACTGCACACTAAAACATCACCACGAAAAGACATGACCTAGATTGTTATGAGCTAACGTTAGCATTGCGACCACTAAGGTTTGTGCTGGTCGAGAATCCACTTTTGACGTCCGAGACATTCAAACCTAGAAAACTGTTGCATCAAAATGAACATGTTGATGTATTTACATATTAGATACGTGTGTTAGGAGACCACTGTGTCTAGGCCTAGCATCAGAACACCTAGCGGAGGAATACATTACGGAAGCTAGCCGCTAAGCTAACGCCATGCTAGCATCTTTCCAAATATAACTGCGTATCAATGATTTATCCGACTAACGGGCATCGTGGGACATGACTCACCACTCGATTGTCTCTCTTTCCCATGTCGAGTTAGTAATGGGGACAATATCCAAGGAAGAGGGCAACCATTAGTGCTACCTTGCTAGCATTGAGCTAGCCACATCAGACTTTGTTAATGGAAGCTGACGACTCTTTTTCTTATTGAGGTTTTTGTTTTTACCAAACAACGAAATGGTGAAATACCGCCACCTACTGGTCTGGCGTTTTATCAAAATATGTATAATATGTATATAGCTATCAATATATGTACATGCTCCTTCACAGTATATCTTCTAGTTTTTAAATTGGCAGTTATTGTGAAACAGACTATATATGTTCTTGTGCCGATGTGAAATATAAGTATATTGTTGCAGAAGACTGTGTGGCAGAATGCAAGTAACTAACACGATAACAAATTACAACAGCAGTTGCATTGCCTCTAATTTTCCCTCATTCCAAGAATGAATACCTACACATTCGCTAGAACGATTCATTATTATGTCAATCACGCTTACAAATGAGTCCAAAATAAAATTCACAAAAAGCTGCTTTTTATTCAACTGGTGCAACACAATAATAAGACACCAATGCCTGCATTCATACATAAGTATAATGCCATGATTGTGTGGTTCCCGTTCGCCATTTCCGTATGCTTATAACAAATGTGACACAGGAACATAATGTGTAATTGGAGTTATACCATGGATGAAGCTACATTGGTTTCAAAACAGTTAAAAGTTGTAAAAGCTCAACAGTTGACTTCAGTTTTGTGTTCTGAGATTGAAATGAATTAACAGTTTCAATAATGCATTGTGCATTGTACGCACCACTGACACCAGATGTGAGTCGTTATCAAATAGAACATATCTCACACAGAGCTTAGTCAAGCAGACAATTATACATGAATCTACATTGTGTTTGCCATCTAGCAATTACAAGTTGCTGGGGGGGGGGGGAACAGTTGATACAGGCAGTTATCTTCCGACAGTAATGACTACAGTAACATATATTTGATAAATAGGAATGACAGTAGACTATGATCAATGACATGATCCCGGAACAGCTCGAAAGAAAACCTGAAGGAGTTGTGATGTGGTCAGTTAGTAGCCCAGAGATGTGCAAACTGTGCCCGAAAGGTTCGGACGACCAAAACAAGAACCTGAGAAAGTCAAGAGTGTGTCTGTGTGTGTGTCTGTATGTGTGCTAGCAGCACTACCTGTTAAGAAAACGTAAACCAGTGTTAAAAATATGTTACTGTTCTGAAAGAACTACTACATACAAAAATACAACTCTGCATTCCTTGCTTTTTCCTTTCTGGTAAAAAATAACTGTACTTAAATGTAACTGGACATGACTGTAAAATAAGCAAAAACTGTACACTCAATATTTGTGCATTATTTCATTATCAAAAGCTATGTAAAATTCATAGTCATTCTCAATCCAAAGCAAATGAAATGCAACAAACACCCACAGAGCCCGCAACACATTTTCAATGGACAAAGTACTCTTGCCAAACAACAATCCACAGACCCTCGCTACTCTACATCTATCCATTTTTACGACATATCTATGGGCTGACGATGCTCATATCAAAAGTTCTCTATCATTACAGCTTGCATTTAGCACTCCATACTGTACAGTACCACTGCCTATCCTTTATACATTTCTTACACTGTCAAACTATTCTTACACAAACTCTATAATCCTCTAAACAGTTGGTGTAATTGGTGTAGGAACATTGTATGCCCCAGCATCTTTAAATCAAGTAACAACTTGATGAAAACAAGCATATAAGACTTGCCAATGACATTTAAATTAAATACAGAATATTGGCGACACTATTCTGTGCCAAATGTATTCATGTTGATTAGTGCTGGTGGGACTTTCTCCACCTATTGCAAGCCTGTGCATTACTGTAACATTCGGATAGTAAATAATAACTGTATCTTATAATGATAAAAGCCCATGAAGGCAGGCTAGTGAGTGGCAGGAGCATTTCTATTAGGTTTTTTTCATCATTGTCTCAGCACTGATATCAGCCCATTATGACGAGTTCCCAGAAGACATTATGACGAGTTCCCAGAAGAGTGCATAAACCATTAGAATCCTGCTACTGGTCTGCAGCTACTCAGGACATCCTCATGGTGGCAGTATTATAATACATGTATAGGACTGGAATGATAAGACACAACATGGCAGTGAGTGGCTGGCTTGTGATGCCCAATAATGTTTCAATAAGTAGGTGTGTACAAAAGCTTTCTAACGTCAGTGGTAGTGCACACACACTAAATGTTTTTGTACATATCTTGTACTGTATATCTGCTCACTGCAAACACCTACAGTATGCATGAAGGCAGGTGAGATCCACGGCGTCCACCCAGGATCCTGTGTGGTCCGGACCCCCAGCCAAGGGGGGCTCTTGCGAGGCTAAACTCTGGTCATAAAGAGGCCTCTGCTTCAAGGCCTCTGCAGTCTGCTTGCCCACTACTACCAGTCTATGTGAGATGCAAGCCTTTTTGCATTGTTAACACAGTCAATCATCAACATTTAACCTAAAAGCAGCAATTACAATCCATCAGTTCATGGAAGGATAGCTTTTGTGCATTTTTCAGTGGGTGAGAGCTTTTGGTGTCCTCTTTCTTGACACCATCTTTACCCTCTCTTCAGGAGTACTCTCCTAAAGTTTTGTACTTTGATTATAAGAAAGTATGCACCCCCCATGGTCCATGTCATGTCATTCAACACAAAATCATTGTTAATAAGCTTTTTGGACACTGATAATCACAAAAAAATGTCACTGGATTTAAATGATTTTGCTTCACTGTGTGCAGCCAGCTGCTTTTTAGAAGTTGAACGACGGGTAGAACGGTGATCAAGTGTGTAATCTAAGATGTGATTTTTAGTTAAACACACCTGTATCTGCAGAGCTGTACAGCTGGCATAAACTACACTATGGAAACAACAAACTAATCTCCAACAAGGTTATTGAGAAGAAACAGATGTGTACTCTGTAATCAAGTGCCTTCACATTTTACTGGTATCCTGTCTATAGCAGGTCATCCCCAAAAACTAAAGGTTATGTGTGAAGAGGCCATAAGGTCGCAATGAGGTCTGTGGACACTGAAGACGGTACATGTTCCCTTACTGGGATGGGAGACTTTGACCCGACAGTAGCTGATGCCTGGGTGCTCTGCATTTCTAGCTTTACGGCCAACTGGCAAAGAGAAAGCCACTGTTGAAAAATTGCATTTGCCCACAGGCAAAACAAGGCTCCATGGTGGGATGATGCTAAAATCAAGCTTTTTGACCAACAAACTCAATTCTATGCTGGTGATTGATGTTGGTGGCATCATGTTGTAGCAATGGTTGAGGGTAAAATAAATGCAGCAGAATACAGAGGAATCCTGGAGGAAAACCTGCTGTCATGATGGGAGAAGGTTGTTTTTCCAAGCAGAAAAACAACAACCCACAGATCTGAAGCTGCACAGAACTGTCTTGAAAAGCACAACACTCAAATGGCCGAATCACAATCAGACGCCATTTGTTTTAGAACTTGAAAACTGCTGTTCAGTTATGCTCACCATGTAACCTCAGCATGAGGACTTGTGCAAAGAAGCACATGAGAAGATTTAATCACATAGATTCAAGGCTGGAAACGATGCCAACGGTGCCTCTATATGTTTGTGTTCTACATTTGTACTTAAATTACTTACTTACTTTCAATTTGACATTTAAGATTTATCTGTATATCAGTGCCAAAAAAGCTTTATTAACACAGTTTGATTGAACGCTGTAAAAACAATAAAACATGTAAAATACCAAGGCGGGGTACGCACAATACTTTTTATAGACACTGTATGGGATGATTAAGGGTGAAGGAGGACAGTCAGGCAGTCCTCTCCTCCATAGTGGGCTTGTTGGTGGGGATTGGCTGGGCCGCGTACGCACTCCTACTGTGGCTGTCCACACTTTGAAAGTAGGGGTGGCTGAGCGCAGCGAAGGCCGATATCCTCCTGGAGGGGTTGAAGGCGAGGAATTGCTGCAAACGATGGAGGAGAAATAGAAGAGGATGAGATGAGAAGATTGGTCAATGAATGTATCGTATATTAATTTGGATTGGTTTGAACCGAGGCTCGTATTACCCACCATTAAGAGGGCCCGTCCTTGCTCGTCCATGTCTGGAACCAAGTCCTCTATGGGTTTAGGGGGCCGGGGAGTGAAAGCACTCTGTGGTAGGGCCACTTCCTGGGGCCAGTCCTCTGCTGTAGGTACCCCAACAACACTGTGGGATGATAATCGTCATTAGTGCCTTCACATGTTCAGCATTCACTGCCTCTCCAGTTCAAATCTTTGTTAAAATCATCCTGATGAAGCAACTGACTGTGTTCCTGTGTGTCTGCTGGTAAGCACTGGAGGGATGTACAATGGTGAGAACAATATTCACCCTACCAGAGCAGCATGACCTTGTCTGGGAGGCTCTGCATGAATCACAGGAAGGTTTGCACACCCTGCTCTATATTTAGTCCATATGCATAATAGGTTCAACAAATTAACAATTGACAATATCCACACACTGGATTTAAGTTCCCAAAAATTCGATTGGATCGACTTTATGGACAGTCCAATAAAGTTTTCAGGGCTTAGTTGTACATTCAGACTTATACAAATATAACAGACAGGACCTCAGAAACTGGAACAGGATATGCAGCCAATAATACTTACTCAAAAATTTTCCCCAGCTGATCAACATCTGAGTTTCCTCGAAATAGCGGTCTGGGAAAGAGAAGATAAACCCAAGTTCAGTTTGACTGAAGCTGCTTAAACATTTACGCGAGACGTTATCTTCATATATTGTGTTGCACAAAAATACATGAAAAGGCAAAATGCATTTTGGTTGAAAGTGTACATCATTGATTATGTTCTTATTGAGCCCCAATGCTCACTATCCCACGGTATATACTGCAGACAAACAGCTCTGAGATAAAAGCTATTGGCTCAAGGCAACGAGGAATGTTTGACTCCGATGTAAGCGTTTGAAGTAGCCACACACTGGCAGCTCCATCTCATGTAGCCAGGGCTGCGAAGCAGTGTTGGTAGTACCACTGAAAACAGGAGGGGAGGGATGAAAGGAGGGAGGAGAGCGGCAGCAGGGCTGCTGGTGGTTCCTGTGGCTTTGGGCCGTCTTTGGATGCCCGTGGGCGGCCATGCCTGCCCTGGCACCCGCACAAATTCCAGTAGTCACCATCAACACAAGCCTGCCGGCCGCTGCATGGTACAAAATAAGTCTATTTATCCCTCATGTGCGTCTGCTTTTGCTCTCTCTGTGTGTGAGAAAGTGTGTAGGAAAGTGGGAGGGAGAGGCATGCGACAGAAACTTTGGATTATTCTAACAGAAAGATGGATGGGAACGAGACCTGAAGTTCCTCTAAAAAGGAAATGAGAACGTGTCGCTCTCAAGGAGAAGACTTTTTAGATTACTTTCTAAATCTGTTACTCCCAAAAATGACAGTATGAAATGCAGTAGACTCAGAGACGCTTTCTTTCCGTTATATTGTCCTCGTTTTAAATGATTCATCGCCAGCAGATATCAATGTAATGCAGGATATTGTCTCATAGGTGTGTATGCAGTCTGTATCCAGGCACAAAGACAGTTTAAGTGCACCCTACTTCACTGAAGTCAACAGAACGACTGGCCACCATGTGCTCCCTGTGTTTTCCCACTTGCAGGAAGCTTTGCATAGCTCAACACCCACACTTTCCTACAGACTCAGACACTGGGAAGTTAGTCACACAGGGCTATTTTGCACATGTTTGTTTCAGTTATTCACAACTGGCATCCTTAACTAATGGATGTCTCAGTGTTGCTCGACTCTTGAACTGTTGCTTTAAACATCTAACTGAAAGAGGAACACACCACATAGGTTTTTCGGGGTAAAGCACTGCGCTGAGGTTTGAAAGCCATTTAAGATCAAACCAAACCAGTTTGGACTGTTTCAAAAGAAGAAGAAAAAAAATAAAGAAATCACCTACAGCAAAGTCATCATGCCAGAACAAGTAGGGCTGATAATTCCAAGAGGTCCATTTTTAAACCTGGAGTGGTTTGTTGGAGGGGGATGACTGGATTCTGACCACTGGCACGCACACACAGTCAACAGTCAAGTGCATATGCACATTTGCACACACTCAAGTAGGTCCACACATGCACTCTGGGCATTGCATGTGCACATAGGTACCTGTACACAAATGCACACAAACAAGGGGGGAGCGCAGTGAAAGGAGGACTGAGACTGGGTTGGGACAGGCAGCTGAGTCACGCTTCCTTTAGTGCCAGCAAAGCTCTGTCCCACATTCCACCGAAATAACCTCTGGAATGTGTGTGTGCATGTTTGCACGTGAGAGCGTCAATCTGACTGGGTGGGAAACGGAGGGAGAGACACAAGAGTGTGCGCTGGAGTGCGTTTTAGACCGTGTCAGTGCAATTTGCTTGGAATTGCAAGTGTGTCCGTCAAAAGTTTGGACGTCCTGTATATGTGGGCATGCGTTTGTCTCTTTGAGGATTCATCAACTGAGTTCCAAACTGTGAGAAAGTCCACATGGATGTGGGGCCTCTCCCAGACCATTAACACAACACGTTCAACCTTTTCAATTGGAGGAATGTCAACAAGCAGGCGCTCCCCCCC